CACACACACACACACACACACACACACACACACACACACACACACTCAGTTGTCTCTCTTTACCTGTGTGACTTTTGCATTGACTTCCATTAATTTCTACAGCCTAACCCTGACACCTTAGCCTAAACCTAACCTTTCAGGTACAAGCCTAACGCTATCCCCTGACCCACAAGTTGTTCTTTTTTATTTTATTTATTTATTTTTGTTTGTTTTTTGTTTTTTTGTGTACCAGGCAAATGTTCACRCAGAACAAAATGTCCTCATAAGCATAGTAAAATGTCAAAACATATATTTATTCTTTGTATTTTTCTTTTTTCTCTTTAGATCTTGTCAGCCATTGTGAAGCTCATGAAGGAGTGTTGGTACCAGAACCCAACCGCGCGCCTCACTGCGCTGCGAGTGAAGAAGACTCTTTCTAAACTGGACACTGAAAGTGACTACAGTCTAGATAAACTTAAGCGGGACATTTAAACACGAGGACCAGTGCCACAACTCCAAATTCCAACAGAACAAAGTGACTTTCATCAACTGATTTGGACTCAGACTAACACCATGTTATAGTAATAAGTTTATTCTAATGGGTTGAATTACATACATTTACTTTTTTTCATGAACTAGTTTCCTTTTTCTCAAAGGTCTACCATCCTCCAGCATCCCACAGACAGGAAGCAAAATCTACTCACACTCATACTTATGTTTATCCTTTTTGACAGTTTTCATTTGCTGTGTGGAATTCCTACAATGACTCAAATCACAAAAAGCTACAAAGCTCTGATATAATCTTTACAGTAAGAAATAACAAAGCACATTATCTATTATTTAAGCATATTTATCATACGTGAAATGGGCATAAGACAGATAAAAAGAACAAAAATGTATATATTCAGACATTAAACTTTTATGAATTTTATTGATATTTACCAATATGAGGATTGTAAATATATTTTTAAAGGGATTATATTTTTATTATTCAAACACAAGACACATTTTATATACTTTTTCATGTTTTTTGACCTTTTTTTGTATTTCTGGAAACCTAAAATGTATCATCACAATCAGCAAGATCAGCAAAACAAATGATGTAATAATCTCTAATGGTATTCCTTGAATAAATTACTATTTTTCAAACATATGTGCTGTAATTTATGTTTGCAATTTTCCGATTGGCCAGCAGAGGGTGCTGTGTGTTAAAAGAGCCAGGCTTAGTGCTGTTTTTTTTTTTTTTTTTTTTTTTTATGGTCTGCTTTAACAATATAGAGTTTTTTTTTTCTCATTTTAAAAACAGAATATTAAACAAACTGGGTTTTTATTGTCAACAGTAAATCATTGCAGTGTTTTTAACTCCTGAGAGAAAACAGTTCATTATATTTACTCATTATGATTTTTATTTGGGACAGTTTGAATATTCGAAAGCAGGGTTTTGTGACAAGAATATGAACAACTAATATCTTACYTGTTGTGGATAGCACTTTCAACAACATCYTTTTGGAGAAAAAAATGTTTTATTCTGTCCAGAATGAAGATGTGATGGCTAGTCTGAGCAGAACCAAGACCAAAGTGCTGTTTTAAAACAACAACACCTAATTTGGCCTTGACCTCTGTCTAACTAGCCGTTAGCTCGTCGGTCTGGTAAGAATTAAACCTTATTTTCCTTAAACTGAGGTCAGCACAGGTAAATTATGAATTGCTCATAACCTCTTCAGAAGATCTGAAGTTCCTAATAAGAATCAGAAAGTCATAGTTGCAGAATGTTGCAATGTCAGCAAAAATATTTTACTGGAGCCATAAATGGTACAGAANATGGATGGATGGATGGATGGATGGATGGATGGATGGATGGATGGATGGATGGATGGATGGATGGATGGATGGATGGATGGATGGATGGATGGGTCAGTGTGTGTTTTTAAGTCAAAATAAAACAACTGATTAAGAAACAATTATGCTGGCTGTTTTTTGCTGAATATTGTCACAGTTTTAGATCAAACCTGTTTGGAGTGCACACAAATGTAAACTGTTGGAAAAGCAGCATTGCTTTGTTTTTGGTTAGAACCATATGACACACGGATGCAGACGCAGTCCCCACACCCGTCTGTACCCACCACCGCCGCTTTTGGAGAAGGATGTGGTTTTGTCACCACATCCCAGTGCTGTTGCTGCTGCCGCACAGATCACTGTTCCAATACGCAACAGGGAAAAATGACGGGGGGGTCGAAGGAAGAGAGAAAGTGCGTGTATGAATCTTTAGGACAAGACCAATGAGAGCAGGGGATGAGACACAGAAAAGCGCGTGGGGGGAGTGTTGGGGGGACTCCACACACATGTCTGTGGTTACTGGTCTGGGATGGGTGGGACAAAATGAAAGGTCTGTTTTTAATTCTGCCAGGAAGAGTTGATGGGTCTGTCAGGCAGAAAACGGAGAGAAAATGCCAGTTTTAGACAAAGCTCATCCTATGAAGACAGATGTCAGAGCTGTAGCTCACAAACGTCTCATGTGATATTGTGAGATGTCACGCTCAGCATATGTGTTGTGAATCACTTTCATACACAACTACACCAAACTCTAGCCCACTATCTGTAAAACTGGCTGAATTACAGCCATTTTTGTGTATTTTTAAAGATAATTGGCTCTGATGGTAAATTTGAATCGGGTTTGTTTCAAAAAAGGATCAGTTGTTAGGATAGATCCAACCTTTGTTTCCTGAAAGTTTCATTATAATCCCAAAATTACGTTCTGCCAGTTTCATTAAAATTGCTAATAGGGGTCATGCGATATTTTACTAAAACTTACACACAGGTAAAACCATAATAAGTCTTTAACCTATAGCAGCGGGTATATGTTGGGTATTGCACACTCCTCACACAGAACAGCAGTCATGTTAGTGTTCCTGCTCTGCTCAGTTCACACCGTACCCAACCCAACATACCGTTCTGCACCTTACTCCCCTCATTAGTATATATATATTTATTTCTTCTTTTTATAAGGGAAACCTCTTCTAAATATATATATATATATATATATAATCAGCTCAGTCATTTCTGTTTAATACCTGTAAGCCAGTGTGTACTTTCTGTCTCTGTCATCTTCGTTTATCTTTGTGTGTGTGATTGTGAGTGTATGCACGAGTGTGTGTTGTCTGTCTGATTGTTAAACAAACCCCAGTGAGATAATACTCCCTCCAAGTCCCAGTCTGTCTGGACCATCGGATGAAGAGCTGGTTATTTTTACCACTGCGGGAGGGAGGGGGTTGCTCGGTACCAGAGAGCCGTGTTTCTGCGTAGACGTCCATCCCACCTCGCCTTCTGTCTCCCAAAGTTGTGTATTCTTTTTCTCTGTGGGATCATTCTCTGTCCTCAGCTGCAGGGGATTTCTGGATGGCATGCACTGAAGAAGGCTGGAGATTTAAAAAAAGAACTGGAAGGTGTTGATAATGGGGATATTTAAACCACAGAGGAGACTACACAGACACAACTGGGCTAGAGGATGGATCAGTCAGAGTGCCAGCGAAAGAGCAAGAGATAAAAGCAGACACAAATGTAGTCCCAAATGCACCTGACTGCAGGCCGACTCCACACACAGGTTGAATGCAGAAACACATTCGGCTAATTTTATCTGCTGGGTTATTTTACACTTTTGCTTTTAAAAAACTGCAACAGGATATGCGTTTTCTCAAAAATCCAATACTGCTGCTTACTCGTGGTTTGAGATAAGCTGGGGGGGGAAAAGAGAAAACGAATGCTGCTATTTTTAATTTAAAATATAGGAACCTCTCAAACTCATATCAAAATGCAGACACTGAACCTGAAGGGAGAGACTTGGATTTGATTAGAAGAAGAAAGACTAGCAGAGGCTGTTGTGGGCTCATTTTCCAACAAGTTATTCTAATAAACACCATGTTTTGAGTTGGTTGTAAATAATCAACATATATCRTTATCAGGTAAAAGGACAAATGATTTGACTGATAATTGTATGTGTGAAAAATAATTAATATGGTTCTTTGGGTCCTTTACGTGTTCACAAATGTGCTTTTTCAGATGTCTTTAAAAAAGTCTTTAGCTTCAAAGTAACACAAACCTAAAGTGGACATATCATGATTTTTAACATGTTTTTCACATCWAAATAATTCAGTTGGGGTCTATRTAAAGTGGAACTACAATGCTTTGGTCTGAATTCCTCCTTATTGTAACTCCACAAGCCCCTCTTTCACCCCTTTTCTGAGGTGTCTCTCAGATCAACTCATTTTGATGCTGTCTCTTTAAATCCAAACAAGGCGCTTCACACCCTGGACACTTTTGTTTACAAAAGACGTCAACAAGGGAATTGTCCATGATGGAGCTGTAGCAGAAGGAGAATGAAGAAGACAAAATTATGGTTCAGAAAACATCTTGGAAAACAAAGTAAACTGAATGGGTTGAAAAATAAAACCCAAACAGAATATAAAGATCTACGCAGAAACGGGAGAGACTAAATTCATGTTTTCTGCACCACAATTACACAATAAAATGCAATTTAGGACTAAAAAATGGATTTTGCACATGTCAGTTGTTACAGCCTATAACCTGTAAATGTAAACAGGATTTTGTTATTGACTAAATATGGCCTCATTTTTGTCATTTGTTTTTAATGACCTTTATTGGTCTATTTGCTTTGAAAATGTTTTGTATTTCCAAAACAAAAAGACATAGAAAGATAGAAATAGAAATGTGAAAATTTAACTTAATTATAACCCTTACAGGGTTTATAATATGATCAAGTAATGGTTGTATATAAGTGATTTTGTTAATAAAGACAAACTGACCAAATATGGTTTAACTTTGCACATATTTAAAATGTAAAATATGAAGTTTTTTTTAAAACATGGGAAAGTAAAAAAAAAAACTTATTGTGTTTTATTGTGCTTGTTTTAAATCTGAGCTTCACGCTTTGTGGAGAGTTCACTCTGTTTTGTTTTGTTTACCCCACACAGCCTTGACCCTGGTGTCAGACTGGAGGGGGGCGTGCAGCAGCCGGGCCTGCCCCCCCTTTAAACACGTCACTGGCTGGGCTGGTTGGTYGGTATCTGTCGGTGTGGTGTGTGCGGTCGGACTGCTGTGGTTGTGTTTCACGTCTGGCCGCCTTGATAACGACACACTTAGAGCGCGTTTAATCGAGATGGGAATTCTGAAGACACCATGGCTCTGAAACGAATTGCCCTAACGCTGCTGGCCCTGTTCGGGTCGGCGGATGTCGGTGATGGTAAGTTTTTTACCCGGAGCACGTCGCTCTTCTCTCCGGCTTTTGTCTCTCAGTGTGTTTCCCTGAACTGCTGCCTGCCTCCGCTGCTGCTGCTGGGCATCGCCTGTTGTCGCTAATCGTCATGGCGCTCCCGTATCGAGGATTTGGCTAGCTTTACCTGACCTCAAAACCTCCCTCGTTTGCTGTTGGCTCCGACAAAAAAAATAATAACAATAAACGAAGCTGTGTCGTTTGTTAGTTTGTTRTTTATTTTGATTTATATCGAGTGGCAAAACGAGACGAGTCGCTAAATGAGCAGGCAGGCAGTGGCTAAACCACAACAACAACATGGTGGAGCTCTGTGTCGAGGCGCCAGCTAACATTTGTTAGCCAACTGTCTCAAGTTGAGTTATGTTGACAGGCTTAGACATTATTAACAGCCTACTCTGATTTATTTTCTGAAATAGATTCGTCTGGTGCTAATTAAAGTTTCCTGTTTGTGTTGCATTTATTAATCTCTAAGCTGGATATGCTTGCATATTTACAAAACAAGCTGTTAGCCTGCTTATCAGTGTCCTGCCTGGGACAATGTCTAATATTACCTGTGGCAGGCCCTTGTAACATATAATAAACCCACAATCACATCTGTTTAATTTATTATTTCACATATAAAGTTTCTCAGTAGCATTCCTTTTAGTCAGAACAACAAAAGTGGCATTCCTTCACTGCTAAAAGCAAAAGCTTTATAGTTTGTTTTTACATTAAATAACTAATCTGTGCACAGTTATTAATTCCATTCTTACTTGTCAGAAATATCATTTGGGTTATCCAAATTATCTTTGTTGGATCTACAATCAACATTTGTGATTGCTTGCTTTTTATTCACTAATGTCTGAAATTGCCTATTTACATAAATACTGGATGATAGTTTTGCTTTTTAAATAATTGTTTTCTTAATATCCAGTGTTTATTAGAGTTATATTGAACATTTCCTCTTCAAAGTTCTTAACTCGTGGTTAGTAACACTAGAACCACCAAAATGCAGTTTTCTGCAGCTGTGCACTCTAGTTCAAATTCACATCTTGGTTCCAGACAGGAAGAAAGTACTTGTCGAATTGTGGAGCTGAAAGCCCAATACACACGATTGCGTACAGTGATGTAATTTGTCCTGGGAAGAATGTCGTTACGAGACATCTGAGAAATTCATTGTGGGCTGAAAGAATAGGATTGTGAAATWCTTGATTTTTTTTTTCCTATTAGAAAGAATTGAACTATGTGTATTTGCTTAACCATGTCCAAATATTAAATGTTAAATCAGCTTGCCGTTTGATAGCTTTGCTGGGTCAATATGAGCAATGTGGTCACAGTTTTCACATTTCCTTGTGCACGGAGTCGTCCCCGAATGGAGGACTAACCTACTTTATGCGTGAAATGTGTTGCTGAGAGTAAACACTGGCAGCTCGATCTTTGGTGCCCGTTTGTAAGGAGTAAAAAAAGGCTGCTTTAGTGGGCCTCTAGGAGAAAGTGAATGCTGGCATAAGGTGACAACAGCCACACATTGAGCCACCCCAGACTGAAGTCAGAGTTGAAGTCTGGGGTCTTTGTGATGGAAATGCGGTGAGTTGGGGGTCTTTTGAGGAGCCAGTTACGAGTCTGCTTCGGTCTGAATCCTCCCCATCTGCTGAAGCAGCTGAATCACATTCACGGGTCATTATTGAAACGAGTTAGACCAAATTTAATTATGAAAAGTATTTTCTACTGATACTCTATCACCACTGTGAGGGAACAGAAAAGATGACTGTGTGTATTTGTTGACCATAATARAACATGCTTCTCCATAGATTATCTTAGTGACAATAACAAAGGAGCTAACCATTAAAAAAATGCTTTGTTTTCAATTTTTAAAGCATATGTTGTGTTTTACAAAGTTGAGTCATTCTTCCAAGAATCATAAAATATTCCTCCCTTGCTTAGTAAGCTTAGGTCATATACGGCATTCTGGGGAAATTATTACACCTACATGACTTATTTGTTTAGGCATCTCCAACTTTAACAGTGATATGTGAAGGAAAGAGTGTGTGGGTGGGTTTGTGGGGGGCAAAAAACAAAATAAGACAAGGTGATGATGAGTTTGTCCAACTGGTAAGCCTCGATTTCACACCTTATAATAGATGGCATCRTGCAAGAGCTAAAACCGGACTAACCTGAAAGCCACTGCAGATAAACAGGCCTGTGCAAGTGAATTTTTTTGATTTATTTGTGAGACTGCGCTTTGCTCACAGGTTTGATAAGTGTGTCACATGTTGTTGACTTCATGCAGATCACTGGTGCTATGGGTATTACATGTCTTGGTGCCACAGTCTGTGTGAATTAAACACAGTAGCAATGTGATATCAGCCGACCACACCGCTGTGAGGCAGGGTGCGTCGTCGCTCCCCCTCCTTCCTCTATCTCCTATAAAATAGTCTGTGTTTTGTCAGGTTTTAATCGGTACTTTATCTGTGGTCCCTCTTGTGTTTTCATTCACCAGCTTGCCTCCCGGGTGTCGGAGAAAGTCTTAGGTGTGCTTTTCATTGTGACGTTAAAGGGAATTTTTTTTCAATAGATTTGCTTGAGTTCCTGCTATCTCTTGAACTTTGCTCTGACATTTATCTTTGTCTTATGCTCTGTTGCGTCTGTGTATATCAGATTGGAAACTAGGCGAAGTTTTTCTTTTTTTTTCTTGCACAGGGATGTGAACTGGCAAACAGGTGCTATTTGATGTTATTTCTGGTGTGAAAGAGTTTATGTGGTGGAAGCTAGTCAAATTGGAGCGTGTGCACACCTGCCCAATGAGGCAGAGCCAAGGGGAAGAACAAAGGAAGAGCGAATCTTACTGGGTTCAAAGGTGTGAGTCTGTGAGAAGAGGAAAATTTAGGCAGGGCTTATATGGCCTTTTGGCTTTTGACAGGAAAACTCATCTATTAAGATTAGGTCTTTGAAGAAATACGCACGTTTTGTCTTCTGGTATCGGCAGCTGATATCTATTTAAATAAAGTTGCAGGGGTTTGTGTGTGTAGACACATCCGCTTTAGCGTTCTGTGTTTACCAACAGTTTCTGTGATGTGGCTCTGAGCCAGTCAGGGTCAGGTCGAGTCTGGGGTGGTCTAGTTTTCACTCGATAATGACCACTGTTGTTAATGACCTCCACTGGCCTGGAGGCACAGAGCCCTAATTGCCAAAGCAGACGGCGTAGCCTCGGACTGACCCATTCCACCTCACCACCCCCACTTTAACTCCATCCCCCCATTATTAATAGTAGACCACAAGGGATTTCTGCCAACAGAGTCTGTCTGCTTCCTCTTTTATTGCTTTTTTAAGAGTTGGGAAGTTCTACAGATTAGTGGTTAAATGACAAACGGTTTGTACCGTATCTTAAATACACATAAAGAGAATGTGTTTTTACCATCTCAGACCGGCCTGACAGACTGGGTAGCCAATGTGTGTGTTTTCATGTCAACAGAGCCAGGCCTGAAACCCGTCTTACGTTACATGTCTTTCTGTAGAGGTGTTTAATTTGTTTCTGTGTTTTTTTTTTTCACGCTGTTGGAATTAAGATTAGACATGCCCTTGCATTATTCTCTGCAAGAACGTGTGCCGGTTACTGAAGTTTTTCTCTTGAACTACTTTGACTCGGTGTGCTTTGGTTGGTGTGATCCAAAATAGAGCTGCTGAAGTTATATATATCTATTTTATGTGGAGTACCCATTTGATAAAATACATTGTTGTCGTTTGTCTTTTTATCTTTGCAAAACAAGCCCAATAAAAGCAGAAATGCGCCTTTTCTAGTATTCAGTTTATTCAATTAGGATTTTAATCACGAGTTTAGCTGAATCTTTAATTTTCTTATGTCAACAAGGTATTAAGGCTGCAGTTGCAGTTTTTTGTTTTCTATTAAATTCCTGAGGAAAAATTTGTTTTTTTGCTGTTGATCTTTATTATGAGATTTTTACGTCTATTTAAAAATGAACATTTTTTAAAATCACAGATGTTTTTACATGCCACCAAAAGGCAAGCAGATATAGCTTTTCACTTTTTTAATTTCTGTTATGTAACTGATTTTCTTCCAAAAATCAACTATTTTATTTTAGCTCATTTTATTTGTACCAGCAAACTTTGGAATTTACAGTTTAACTCAAAATAAAATGTAAACAAAGACTTGCAAATTAAAGTCTAAAATAAAGGTTTAAAGTGCAAACTCCAGCAGAACTAATTGAAGATCTTATCATTTGTGTATTTGAAAAAAAATGGGCCTGCATATTTGGCTTGTGGTTAGGATACTGTTGGTAAGAACTGCAGCCAAGTGGGGAGAAAAATCCTTTTTTCGCAGAACTTAAGTCACATGATTTTGCCAGGAAGAGGAGAAACAAACAAAATCAGAACATGTAATAACAGATTCTGTAACAATGACAAACCTACATAGACTTTTTATATTATACATATGAATTGTGTTTATTAATTGTGTGTATCTGGATTTATCAGAATAAATGCTATTTTTAAAAAATAAACAATATCTATGCAACTAAATATAGTGCGCAGTAAAATATGGTAGGGTAAAATACGCAGGTGTGTTGTGTTGTTAAATTGTGTTTCCTCGTTGAGCTCTGTTCCAGGTGTAGTAGATTTATGACCAGGATGKTTCCTTCCTGCGCTGAACAAAAACATAACGTTTTTTTTATAACTGCAGCAAAGATAAATTATTTCACTGAGCAGCACTGAGTGTTAACGGTAATTCTCCATCATAATGACCTTTATGACAGAGTCATTGATTTGTAGAATCCAGTTTATATGAGCGTCACAGGGCAGCTTTGATCAGTTGGAGCACCTACAGAAAGTCTTTTAAAATAAATAAAAAGCCTAAACGTTCTTTGCTTTTGATTCTATTTAGGACATCAGACAGACAGACAGACAGACAGACACAGAGAGACAGACACAGACAGGATGGGATGCAGCCTGTGGAGTGTTGGTTGGTAGAGATAGTAGAAGCATCCTCAGCCCCGAAGACTTCACTTTAGAATCAGATCAGTAATCTGACCCTGAGATGCAGACAAAGGTAATGACTTTCCTCCTTCCCCTACCATTGATTAGGGCACAGTTGTGGTGCGTGTGTGTGGTTTTTGCTTGTGTGTGTTGCACTCACACTGTCTGGTGGCGTCTGCTTGTCTTGATCAACTCTCAGTCTGGCATCCGTATGGATCTAATTTCAGCCAGTGCATTTTGGTAATGGTTCTCTCCGTACACAAGCACATACTTACTGTCAAACCCAGCCCCCCCCCCCCCAAATATATATGCATATGTAGCTTGTTACTGTATGTCTCAAAGTTTGTTTTTTTTTAGTTTGTTCACCAGTTTTCCCCCTGATGTTCCCATGCTTCAACAGCTCACCTCTGTTTTGACAGGTTTGTTCTGCATGAGTAGGCCTGAACAACAAGTGAATACAGTCATCAAGGTTAAAGCTGTTTGGGATGGGGGACCATGCTGGGGGATTTTGCCAGGTCCGAGCAAATGCGACGATTGTTTATGGCAGCGATGTTTTATTAATCTCTTCCTCACTGTTTCTGCCATTTCCTGTCCCGACATGAACGGAATGATAGGAACTCCACTCATTAGCAGCTGAAAGGAACAGCTCTCGTTCTCTGATCTCCTTGTTTTCCACCATCATTCTCCTTTTTCCTGCTCTCCCTCCTGTAAGTCAAAGTCTAGACTGGGTTTTAATGACAGTCGCAGCTGGTCACTTGGGCAGACCTCAATAGCGGTGGCGTGGGGGGACTTCTTCATGCCTCCCTCCCTCCCCCTGGTCCCCTGGTCCCTCCTCTTAAGTATTATCCTGCTGAAGCTCCCATTTACTGGCCACAGAGCAGCCCCCAAACATTGCGGTTGTTACTGGTAACACCCCCCCACCATATCTGCGTGCCACCCATCCCCCCATAGAAGTGCAATCCTGTGCTTTTAGTTCCTGTAGGACCATTACAATCCCTCCTCATGTCGCCGTAATCTCCACACAAAGGAGCAGTGTAAAGACCACCAGTTATGTGGGTACGAGCAGAGTTCACTCAGACACGGCCTCAAAGCTCTCCTGTTATTACTTTGTAATACTTTCACTGCAAATCCAGAAAGTTATGTAGGAAATCATGAAAACAAGTTGACTTTTGATTAAGGTCTTCAATATGATTGAATTTATTTAATGTACTGGTTGTTAAAAATAAATTTAAAAACTGCATTGACTCATTAGCTTGTTTCCATCGTGTATGCACATTTTAGGTATTACGTTATTAAAGGTTGATGGAAATGGCAACATTTGAAAAAACTTACTCGATTTCGCAAAAATATTTTTACGCTCACTTGAGGTGGTTTTTGCATTTTCCGAAAAATAGTTCTCACGTAGCGAATGTCACATGATGCATCAGCTGTTTCCACTGCCTGTGTTCTCCTGGATATTACCTTAAAGAATTGCATTTTTTTCTCTACATCTCTGGAAAGCAAGTTACATCGCCAGCATTAGTTGATATGACAGAGCAATTACAACTTGCAGCGATACAAGCGTGTTCTTGATAACTTCTCTCCATTGTCCCAAGGTGTGTAGTCCCTGCTCGTTTGCAACCTCTTCTTCCTGTATGTGASACAGCCATGTGTAACGCCAACATCTGACAAATTTCCGTTTTGCGTAGCCTGGTTGATTCGCTCCAAACCACTTGATAAGATGTGCTTAATTTGCTTTTCTGTCTTTTTATTTTTATTTTTTTATGACCTTTTTAAAAGTTTCTTCAAAATTTGCCTTACAGTGGGCTGGAAACATGATTTCTCTAATTTAACGGTGAGCAGCAATGTCGCAGTTCAGTGACGGCTTTTATTGGAAATTTTTTTTAGCGATGACCGAGTCTGGTTATTAGTCAGAAACGAGCATCATCTTCAAGTCATCTTTAATGTGTAAAAATTTTCCACATCAGCCTTTTTTAGACTAAAAGGCATGTTGCCTTTTAGTCAGACGTAACTCTTGTGAAAAAAGAGACTTTCCACAAACCAAAATCCTGGTAGACCACTAAATGTTCACGATGGCCTGGAGATGTAAGTTTGTATGTTTGGAGCCGTGTTTGGTTTTCTCTCTGAGCTTCTGTCTTCATGTCTGCAGACCATCTGTCTTGCCTTACTGTCTCTGTCTCCATGATGGATGCGCAGGCCTGTTGGTTTCAGATCATGCTGTTCTGTTCAGATCACTACAGATAATTTATTACCGTGCACACTTGGAGCATGTTTGTGACAAGAACTCTTGTCACAGGCTGGTTTAGAGTTGTTGGCTCCAGAATGAGTCGTCTAGGAAAAACATTTTTAAAGCCGTTTCTTTAGCCTTTGCTTTTTGGATTAATTGATCAAAATACACCATTGCACAGGGGAGAAGTACCCTTATTTGGTTAAACTAAACTTGTTCCATTTATTGTTGCATATCAACTGGATGTGGCTAAGCCAGAGCTTGTTTTTCTATCTTTATCAGCCTGATTCACCTCTGCAATCTGCAGGAAATTCCATCTGCATACAGACTTCAGTGAACTTGGACGCATGTAAGCTGGAGTTCCTGCCTCTTTCCCACTCGTATGAGAAGCACAAACACTTCTGCGTACGCATGCACGCACACACACACACGTTTGTTTTTCTATCCTTATGGGAACTTTGCATTCACTTCCAATTATTTATTGGTCATTTCCATTGCCTAACCCTGACTCTTAACTGTAAACCTAACCTCCCCAGTACACACTTAACCTTAAACCTAACCTAAACTCAATTCACACCTTAGTCCTAAACCGAACCCCTGACCCACCAACTGTACTTCCACCAACGGGGACCAAGCTTTTGTCCCCATAAGGAACAGAGGGTCCTCAAAGGCCACGTATATTGGAAAAATGGTCAAAAATCATCCCCACCACATAACAAACACACACACACACACACACACACACACACACACACACACACACACACACACACACACACACACAACAAGAAACATTACTGTAAACCTTTGAATGTTTCACGTTTCCAGTCACTATCAGTGAACAAGCACAGACACATCAACACACACACCACATCCAAAAAAAAAAAAAAAAAAATGCTCCAACACATAAATCAACTTTTCAGGAAGTTATTTATTGGAAACCCCTCCTATGATGCCAGAGTTTGTGGTTTTGGTCACTTTACGGTTATTGGCTGCTGCTGACGCAGTCAATGAATCATTGGTCATTTTAAGTATCTTTTTGTTTAAGCAAATCTTGGTAATCAGCCTCTTGTAAGTTATAAAAAAAACTGTCAGCAGATTTCAAACATAGACATCAAAGTAAAAAAACGTCGAGCTCATCTGTTTGGAGAATATAAGGCAGAGAGGATTAGTGAAGTCCTGTCGGTCTTTAAATCCTTTCTTTCCTCGGGGGCAGACACTAGTTCAACCTGTGCTGAGTCCCATTGTTGTTAGAACAAGGATTGAAATTCCTCTCCTCCATGTGTTTGTGTTGTTTTAGCTACAGCAGTCTTGTGCTTCAAGCTTGATTTCCACTACATACCTGAACCTGTCAAGGTTACCTGTGGTAAAACATGATGTAATTTCCATTTCTCTATATTTAAAAGAGAAACCCCTCACACCGTTGCACAACCCACCCGTACGAGTCAATCAGTGCACTGTGTTAGCAGAAGAAGCCCTTTGTGTGTTGACCTTACTCTAAATGAGAAGCATGTGTCCTCTGACTCAAAATCACATTTTACTCCAAATCTAATCAGTTTATAGTTTGTTTTTGTTTTTTTTCCTTTTGCGCTCCGAGTCACCCTTCAGTGCTACTTCTGCTTTAGATCTTGCAGATTGGTGTAGACATCCTGGCACTGAGCTGATTTCGCAGTGTAGATGGACCGCTGTAGTTTTTTTATTTTTTGATTTAGGCTGAGGTTTTATTGTGTCGCCTTGGATTGGGTCCACGCACAGGAGCGTGCTGTGTTCTAATGGATCTCCTGTTTTTATTGGCTTGAACAGAGGCCGCTCTTGTGTGCCACTGTGAGAAGGAAAGCAAAACAGAGGAAGGGAATGAAGCAGATTGCTGCATCGGTGATTTGGCCTGAGCCCTCTCCCCTTTGTTGGGTTTCACATTGTGTGTCCCTCTGGGTGGGTCTGTCTCCACCCTGCGTGTTTGGGTTCATCTGCAGTGAGGGATCGGATTTCAAGGCCGCCGGGGGCCGTCTGGCTGCTCCTGTTGACCTGCACATCATAAAATCCTGACAATTTCATAGGACATGCTTCACAATTAGTGTTCGAACTGTGGCATGAGCTCGCCTCCTGCTGGACAAAATGTTGTAGTGTTTTTTTAAATTTTGAATATCTTAACCTGAACGCTGTCGTCTTTCTGGGTTTTTTTTTTCCCCCTCCAGCTTTACGTTGTAACTGCACAAACTGTGTGACATCCGGCTACGAGTGTGAGACGGATGGCGCCTGCATGGCCTCTACCTACATGCTGGATGGGAAGGAAGAGAACGTGCGTGTCTGCATCAGCCAAGACAGTCTGGTCCCTGCTGGACACCCCATCTACTGTCTCAGCGCCGAAGGCTACATGAACACTCACTGCTGCTACGTCGATTACTGCAACAGCATTGACTTGAAAGTTCCAGGTGCAACGCCTTCACCGAACACTTGTTTTTATTTCAGTCCCAACAGTCTGATCTAAAATTAAACATCTTTTCTCTTGTTCCTTTTTTTTGGCTTTTTGCCTCTCAGTGTCAACGAGCGGACCCTCGTCGAGTCCTGGAAGCTCGCTGGGACTAGTGGAGCTGGTGGCGATCATCGCAGTCCCCGTGTTCCTGCTCGCCGTGTTCCTTTTGATTGGCGTGTTTTGGTTTTGCCATCACCAGAGAGCTTACAGCCACAGACAGAGGCTGGAGGTGGAGGACCCTTCCTGTGACCATCTGTATCTGGCCAAGGACAAGACCCTGCAGGACCTTATTTATGACTTGTCCACATCAGGGTCAGGATCAGGTCAGTGACTTGTGTGCGTCTCGTGAAAAAACAACTTTATCATCCCAGTAGTCCAAGCCAATCTTGAATTTCTCATTGTGTTTTCCGTCTAATGCCCCCTGCAGGATTGCCCCTGTTCGTGCAGCGTACGGTGGCCAGGACCATCGTGCTGCAGGAGATCATAGGAAAAGGACGTTTTGGGGAGGTGTGGCGAGGGAAGTGGAGAGGAGGAGATGTGGCTGTGAAGATCTTCTCCTCCAGAGAGGAGCGCTCCTGGTTCAGAGAAGCTGAAATCTACCAGACAATCATGCTTCGGCATGAAAACATTCTGGGTTTCATTGCAGCAGACAATAAAGGTGAGAAGAACTGTGGTTACAATATGTACAGCAGGGGGCCACAGTTACTGCAGGCCAACAGCTCAGGGGCCGAACATCCAGCAATTAAAGTCATTATGTAAATAAACCAAGTTGTACAGGATCTGTTACCTTTTGAATTGGTTTATTTTGCTGTATTTTATCATGAATACAACATACAGAACCCTAAAAAAGTAGTGATAATTAAACAATATCAAAAACAAAAATAACACATTATGCCTCCTATTTAACAAATCTTATTTTGAGATCTCTGACTTGCCCAATTTTTAAACCAATTTTATTTTCACTTTCATAGTTTTATCTTCAAATGCTTATAATTTTAACTGTCTTGAGTGTTTATAGAACCAGCTTCTAGCCAAGATCCTGATGTTTCTGTAGATACCAAACATGTGTGTTTAACTAAAAGAACTCAGAGTAATTAAAGTAGAAAACTGGGGTTTTAGGCTTAAGAGATGAATGAACTAATTGGCAGGCTGAGCTTTGGTCACTGGCGGGCTGAATGTGGCCCACGGGCCGCCAGTTGAATAGCCCTGATGTACAGTATACCTTTTGCCTGTGCTTTGGAAATGTGGGTGAGTTCTAGTAAAAACATATTTAAGGATAAAGCTTAAAGTGTCTTAGTATTGAGCAGAAATGTGATTTTCTACAGCTTTATTAACTGAGTAACTTTGTTCTTTAGACAATGGAACGTGGACACAGCTGTGGCTGGTGTCAGACTATCATGAGCACGGCTCTCTTTTTGACTACCTGAACCGCTACTCCGTCACCATCGAGGGTATGATCAAACTGGCGCTGTCAGCTGCGAGCGGCCTGGCACACCTGCACATGGAGATCCTCGGCACTCAGGGTGAGATGAACGCTCCTCTTAAACCGACTGAGTGACCATGAAGAAATGAACACAACAGGAGCTGGCGCTTAATGCAAACACAATGATTTGTTATCATCTCCACCCCCTGCAGGTAAGCCAGGCATCGCTCACCGTGACCTCAAGTCTAAAAATATCCTCGTTAAGAAGAACGGCACGTGCGCTATAGCTGACCTCGGGCTGGCAGTCCGCCACGAGTCCATCACAGACACGATCGATATAGCTCCGAACCAGCGTGTGGGCACTAAGAGGTAAATGTTTCTCTACTCCTTCTGTAGCTTTCAGGTGTTTCCCAAGATTTGAAAGGCTTAGCTGGCAGAGTATTTTTTGATTCTCTCCACAAATCCCACGAACATTCTAATAACAACAGTAAAAATATCCCCTTCTGACACCAAACAATGTATCTGCAGTAGAAACAAATGTTCTACTGGAAATTCTAATTGATGCTTATTGTTATATCCATGATTAGTTGTAACATTAGACTTTATTTGATAAACATATATTTTAACTGTAAAATAAAGACTGTAAAAATAC